TTCAGTCTTTGGGAACGAGAGAAGAACATAGATGAGACTGAAGGTGCAATATGTAACATCTCTAAAAGGAAGAGAGGCTACAGCTGAGTGGTAGAAGGCTCTGGACTCAGTCTCTGCCCTTTCCAGTGAAAAGAACTGAAGACAGCAGGGCAGGTAAAGAGTTTGGTAAGATAGTGCCCCTTGCAACAGACAGGCTAGCAAATGAAAATCTCATTGCATCTTTTGGAATGCAAGGTTAACTGTGGTATGTTTATTGCAAAGAGATTACCATGGAACAGTCTGTTTCCCCTGTGATATTTGTGTGTATTTGTGTATATTGGTTTAGCCTCATGGGGTGGAGCCTAGGGGTATGCACACACAAAAAATCAGTATTTTTCGGGTTCGGGTTATTGAACCAGAAAAATATCAGTATTTCCCGATATTCCTGAATGCCAATATTAGTATGCCAAGGCAGGGCAGGCTGAGCAGGGGCTAATCTCCATGGTGGGTACAGCTCCTCTTCTGATGGCAGGGTAGGTAGTCATTCCTCTTTCCCGCCACACCACCATTTATCCTGCCCTCACCATCGCTGCACTTGCCTGTGCTTGCAAGGTAGAGAGCTGTGGTAGATGCTGCCTACGGCAGCAATGCTTGTAGGAACTGGCAGAATTTGAGGACTCCTCTCCAGGTAATGTGATGGCTGTGGCTCTTCCTGGCTGCTGCTCTGCCCTCCCACTTTCCTCACTTCACCCGCCAGCCATCACCTGCCTGAAGTGCCTCCCCCCTCCCGCTGCTCCAATGGAGTAGTGTTATCTGCACATGCACAGATAACACTCCTTTGTTTTAAGGGAATTTAAGCCCCCCAATGTTTTTTTTTTAAGTTTCCAGATTTTTCTGCAAACCTAGGGGGTCACCCAAGTTTGCAGAAAAACTTGTTTGGGGTAAGTATGCCCCCTATCTGTGGAAATAAGTATCCGCACATAGGGAACTGTTGGGAATTAGATATATACAAAAGGGGACCCACAACAAAACGTTGCACAATGTGTTGTGGCTTGTTTTAACTTGTAATTGCAGTGTAGGATTCGCAGTCACTAAATGTATATACTCCTCGAGATGAGTCCCAATCAGTATAGTACACAGAATGTATGCAAAGCAGGGATGCTTTTATTTTGTTTCCATGTTGTCTTGGTGTATTCCTGGATGATTTAACTGTAAATCTCACAGTTCTTTGAATGTCTGCATTGTTTTCCTTTCCCTTCTCCCTTGTTCCCTCACTTGGTCTGAGGGTAAGGGAAAGTTTTCCCTTCCCTCCTCCCTTGTTCCCTCACACAGCCTGTGGATGGCTTCTGCTTTGGGGCCTTGGAAGTCCCACCCTGTATCCATCGGGCCAGCCAGGGTGGGGTCTGTGGGTCCCCGTGAGACCAGTGCCATTCTTCTGCAGCCCCCCATGTTTTCCAGGTGTTGGCTGTGTAAGCCCCAGCCCTGCTGGTCTATCAGTTGCTAACAATAACAAAAACAACCGTGATGTTATATTATGAAAATATATTTAGCTTACTATTCTGTAGTGAATCGTATTTCTTCATCACATTATAAAAATATATGCATACACACAATGGGAATTGCATATCATACCGTTTCACATAACAGCTTTTTCTAAGTGTGCTTCGTAAATACCATTAATTTACACGTCAGCAATTCTAATCCGTGAATTAACACACAACATTCTTCCCACTTCAATGAACCAGATTCTTTCAGTTGCTGGCAGGCCTGAGTGGTGGCTTGGGAAGTAGTCTTTCTGCCCCTGTCACACTCCTGGCCTCCCACATACTCCCTTCCACAGCAGCAGTGGGAGCAGCAGCTCTCCAGAAGTCACAATGGATTGTCCAAATACAGAGATCAGTTCCTCTAAGGTTGCCAGCTCCACGTTGGGAAATTCCTGGAGATTTGGGCATGGAATCTTGGGAGGGTGAGGTTTGAACTTGGAAGTGACCTCAGCAGGTATAATACCATAAATTCCACCCTTCAAAGCAGCCATTTTCTCCAGGGGAACTGATCTCTGTCATCTGGAGATCAGTTGTAATTCTGGGATGTTGCCAGCCATCACCTGGAGGTTATCAACATTCGTTCCCCTGGAGGAAGTAACCACTTTGGAGGGTGCAGTCTATGGCATTATATCTGTCTAAAGTCCCTCCCTGCCTCAATCCCCACGATCCCCAGGCTCCACCCCTCAAATATCCAGGAATTTCCCAACATGGAGTTGGCATCCCTATCTCCTTCCCACCCAACAGCCAACCTACCTTTATCGGCCCCTCTGTCTTCAGCTTTCCATCTGACAAGCATTCATTTCACTGCTCCCTGGCAGTCTTTCAGCAGCAGCTGGACGAACACTTGTCAGGGATGCTCTAGATTGACCCTGCATTGAGCAAGGGGTTGGACTAGATGGCCTGTATGCCCCCTTTCAACTCTGCGATTCTATGATTCTTTCCCCCTGCAACTTCTACTGAGGAAAACTATGGTCTTTCTACACAGTGGGGACTAAAGCAGTTGACATTATTCTCCCCTCCTTTTTATCCACACAACAACTCTATGATGTAGGTTAGGCTGAAAGTGTGCGACTGGTCCCAAATCATCCAGTGAGCTTCCACAGCAAGATGGGGTTCTAAACCTGGGTCTTGAAAACCTACTCTGAAGCTCTGGCCATTATACTACACTGACTTTCATAGAGTGGCTGCTGTTGAACAGTAGCATACAGCCAGGCCTAGTTGAATCATGAGAGTCAGGTGGTATCAAGGCATCCAGAGGGTGCTGCTATGCCTAGGTTTACCAGTGACCAGGTGAGACCTGGAGATCCCTCAGAATTACAACTGAACTCCAGACAACAGAGATCTGTCCTTCTGGAGAAAATGGGCGGACTCTGTGGCATATCCAGCTGAGGCCTCTCCCCTTCCCAAATTTTGTACTCAGACTTCACCACAGAATCTTCAGGAATTTCAAAACCTGGAGTGGGCAATCCTAGGCCTGGCCTGCTATGTAGCCACTCATACTGCAGGAGTTATCTTTCCTGATCAGAGCACCCCAGTCTTGCTTTTGCTTACTCTCCTCTCTGTCTCTCTCTCTTTCCGGCTATCTCTCACTATTGATGCAGTGGGGTCTGGAGTAGATCCCTGTGGAGGCTATTTCAAAAGGTATTCAAGGGATTCAACTGTCCCTAAAGGTTGAGGGTTCCCCCCCCCTTTTTTGGATTTTTTTCTGCAGACCCAGAGAGTCCCCTGAGTCTGTAGAAAAAGCTGCTGGGGGACCTTGTGCCCCGTATCTGTGGAAATAAGTATCCGCATGCAGAGGGGACGGTTGAGAATTAGATATATACATAGTTATTGTAGTTTAGGGAAAAGTCTACCTCTTCTGCTGTAATGGAGTGGTAGTGGAAAATCAGGAGATCTAGGTTAATGACAAAATTAATTTAGGATGGAAGGCCAAGAATGTGTTTCGTATTGTCCCTAATCAATTTGTGGGAAAATTACCATATGCTGCATGTAACTTTGGGCTAAATTTAAATGTTCACAGATTGTAATTTGTGTCTTGTTAGTATTAGTATCTTCTTAAAAAATGCATAGGATTGTGATCTCAGATGTCTTCTCAACTGTTGATCATCCATGTTAAAGGGACACACTAGTGATTCTTTTGTTTCCACATGATGGTGGTACTCCCAAGCAGCAAGAGGCCTACTTGTTAAGGCAGTTGCCTCCAGTTCCTTGCTGCCACTCCACAGGCTGCTGGGGGGGGAGGGAAAAGGGGGTGTCACCCTGAAACAATGCCATCACTTCCAGTTTGTGACCGGAACTCACATTGTACATTGACACAACGCCAGTGTGGCTATTCCTGCCCTGCATTTTCTCTCACCGAGTTGCCGGCTGTGGCTGGCAACCCTATTACTGATGAAGAAGGGGAACCACTTTGGTTTTTTTGCAAGCAGCTCCCCCTCCCCAGCTCTTCTCCAGTGCCAGGAGAAGAGGCTTGTTTTGTGCCAGTTCTTCTTGTGTGTCGTGGGGAGCCAGGTCTTCCTGTGCTTTGCACTCTAATGACCAGGAAAGGACCCCATCAGGCAGTTTCCCAATGTGTGTGTATTGTCTGATTCCCCCCGCCCCCATCACTCACAGCTGAAAGTGTAAAGTCATATGAGGTCATCTGAAAACAAATTTTTCCTATGGTAGTTTATGAGCATAGATGCAACTTATTTTGTGCTTCAGTCAGACTCTGAAGGAGACACACACTGGCACAGGGTATGAAGAGAGGTGACCAGCCAGATGGAGAAAAATGTAGAACTGAGATGAACAGAGATGAACAACAAACCTGGAACCGTTAACATAGTTTTACCTATCTCTTTTTTAATATCATAGAGATAAGTTTTATAGCCATTTATACCTACTCATGGTTCAACTGCATACTTTTACTTGTTGTATCTGATGATTGCTTATGCACTTTAAGATAATATTTCCTTTTCCTGAAATTGGAGTTATTTGGTCTGTGGAACCACAGGTAAACCCTAACCATTACTTATGCTTATCAAAGTGTAAGAGTAAATGCCTAGTAAGGCATATCTCTAACCATTCAGATTTCCAAAATTTCTTCCTAACTGCAGGGTGGCAGAGTCTGAATCTGAACAAAGGGTCTGACTATAGGCCATCAGACTGTAATGCTTCTAGTGGCCGGCTGGTGGCAGTGGAGAATAAACCCTATTTGTGAAAAAGGAGTGGTTATGTTAGGGCTGGAAAGATAAACTCCTTTTTGAGGTCTTGCCATTTCAGACTGGGGCCAGCTAAGTAAATCCCTGTGCTCATTTTTTGATTACTTTAATAGTGTTATTTATTCAGTGATGCAATAAAACATTATGTATAAATGAAATGTTTTTATTGGAAGCTGCCTTGACAAAGTACATAATTGTGACTGTGCAGTCTGGAAGACAACATGTCTGGGAATGAGTACAATATTTACACTAATTTAATTAATTTTTCACTCTGTAGAAAGAATGTGCCAACTTCATCAAAGTGCTTAAGACTTATAACCAAACACACTTGTATGTCTGTGGAACAGGGGCTTTCCATCCAGTGTGCACATACATTGAAGTTGGAGGACATCCTGAGGTAAGTGTGAATCAACATAAATCCACATTTTGTTTGTTTGTTTTTTTAATCTTCAGTACATTTATCAATAATCTGCCCCCCCCTTTCTGAAGTGCATTGTACTGAATTAATCCATCATGTTTCATCCCTGAATAGTCCATGTGTCTGGGGAAGATGGCAGAGGTGTTATCTGGGTGGGGAGATTATGATTGTCTGTCTTATTTATTACCCACTTTTTTGCCGTGGTTGGCTCCCAAAGTGGCTTACATCATTAGTATTCAATAAAAAGGCACGGTTTATTGGGAATGTGCAAGTGTCTGGACAGCAGTCTCCTCTGACCCTAATTTAAAAATTTAATTCAGCCAACAGGGATTACATCAGAGTCTTCTTTTAATGGGAGAGGTGGAAAATCGTGTCTTTATTCCTGCAGTAGGACTTTAAAAAATCCTATAACTCAAGGTGGATCGCATCTATAGCCACTGGAAACTTTACCTAACAAGTATTAAATTCGCAGGTAAAAAGTAGAGTTGTGTGTGTTTCCCAGTTCACCTTCACCTCTTCAGTTCATAACTGGTAGTTCATTGTCTAACCATGTCACATTATCAGCAGCTTTGTCCTACAGACACCTTTTCCTTCAAGGATTTTATTTATATTTTTTAGATTTGTATCCCACCTCTCTCTAGGAGTGTGCAATTTTTTTCACAGACCCACCCAAAAATTCGGGATTTCCAAAAAATACCCTGGATCTCTACCAGTAAAGTATTCGGATCAGGAATTTAAAAAAAAAAATCCCAAATTTTAGGGGGTCCAATTGACCCAAACCAAAAAGTACAGAAGGGAAAAATGCAGCGGCAAAACCACACAAAAAAACCCAACTCAGAGACAGCTCCGCTGGGGCTTTTTTGGGTGGTGCCTTTAAACCGGACTGCTCAGCAGAGCCCACAGAACAACTGATTCTGCGGGGACACCTCTCCCCACAGGCTCAGCTGCGGCTCTGCCGGGCAGCTTGGTTTTAACTGGACTGCCCAACAGAGGCCACAAAGCAGCTGATCCTGCAGGGAGAATGCTCCCCACAGGCTCAGATGGGGCTCTCTTCTGCAGTTTGGTTGAACAGCACAAAAGAGCCCCAGCTGAGCTGATGGGGAGTGTGCCTCCCATCAGCTGTTTTGCGGGCTGTCTTCAGCGTTGCCTTTAAACACTACCTGCTTAAAGGGACTGCAGAAGAAAGGCCAGAAACAGCTGAGCGGTGGGAACAATCTGCTCCAGCCACTCAGCTGTTTTCCCCGGTTTGCCAGTAATTTCTGATTATATCTGGGATTGGGGGGGGGGATTTTTTTTTTGTTGTTTTTTTGTTTTCCTGAAAAATCCCAGATGCATGTGGGATGTTGAAATATACTTGAAAAATATGGATAAGGTTTTTTCAGGTATATTTTCAGTTCAAGCAGGCCAAAATGCACACCCCTACCCCTCTTTTGGAACATGGGGTTCAGGGTGGCTCACAACATTTTAAAAGACATAAAACGGAACCATAAGGTTCTTCAGTTTGGTATAGTGGTTAAGTGCGTGGACTCAAATCTGGGAGAACCGGTTTTGATTCCCCGCTCCTCCACTTGCACCTGGCTGGATGACCTTGGGCAAGCCGTAGTCCTGATAAGAGCTGTTCTTGAAAAAAAGTGCAGCTTCTGTCAAGTGTTCTCTCAGCCCCACCTACCTCACAGGGTGTCTGTTGTGGGGAGGGGAAGGGGAAGGAGTTTGTAAGCCGCTCTGAGACACCTTTGGGTTGTGAAGAGCGGGGTATAAATCCAATCTCCTCCTCCTCTTCATTAAAACAGTTAAAACAGCTAAAATCTGTTAAGGGCGCTTCCTACTCTGTGGGGTAGGACATAATCACAGGCTCCCCACTCCCCTTTTAGGGCATCACATACTACTTCTATATGTATCTCAGTTTTCCACACTGTTTCTGTTTTTGTCTGGAGAGGAAGCTGTTTTTTCATATGTGAATACTTATTGCATGGATGGGAACAGTGCTCTTGAACATCTCACAGTTTTTGCTGGATCTCTGGCAGGAGAGTTCTTCATAGGTTGTGCTCCTTGCACTTCAGCTGTCCATGTTCTGTGGTTTACAAAACGTGGTTAGGTTAACTCCAGCAGAACTGCAACGAGGGCTTAGATCTCAGGTGCTGGAAAACAACTGGCCAAATGTTTACAGATGAAGGAGCACTTTGCAATGTTAGTGCTTAGTGTAAAGGGCACCTGCTCAATACTAGGACACATGCTTTTCATAAAGAAGAGTTAAATCCTGGAAATCCTAAGTTCATTAGATCTCAGGAAGGAGGGCTGGGAAACATTGCTGAGACTTTGGATGGGGTTTCTTGATCGTAGGTGGCCATGCACACATGTTGCACACACAATACACTCTGCTCCAATGACTACAGAAGTTGGCAGCCATGACATGCATGGAGCTGCTGTGGGCACCTGTATGTATGTGTGTGTGTGTGTATGAAGACTCATAGTGTTACATTATATGTAAAAATGTTACATACTACATAAACATAATATTAAAAAGAAGCCCAATGTGACTGTTGCATTTAGAGCCCTGAGGGCATTTAAAAATCCATAAAACAGATTTGCTCGATTTTTTTTCTTCCTCAGAAGACACACATTTAATTTATGGAAGTGATTTTAAGTTGATCCTTATATTACATTTGCCCACTCTGATACTAGAAACACATTTACTGGAAAGCTGCCTTGTGGATTTGACAGACAGGGTTGCAAATTGCTGCAAAAATAATTACCTCATCATTCAAGTTGAGGAGAGTACACTTGATCATCTAAAACTCTGATTCAGTCCTAGCGGAAGATTAACATATCCCTGCAGTGATGACTTGAAGACTCTTGAGATCATTTTTCCTCCTCTTCATCAGAAGTCTATTAACTTTTTAAACAAGTGTTCTCTGAATATTACTATTTAACATTCAGTTTTTAGTAGAAAGGTGTTTAGCGTAAGTTGCATTTATTTTCTTAAGTTTGGCTGGATGGGTGGGTATTTTTGTGTGTGTGTGCGTGCATTTGCGTGTATGTGCTTGCATGCCTGGAAGTCATGGTGACCCCTACTGCGGCTTGGATGTTTTCCAGAGAGGTGGCTTAGCCTGCCTCTGCATCCCAAGCCCTGGATTCCTCCTAGTTACTTGCCAGAGTTGGCCCTGCTTAGCTTCCAAGATCTGACAAAGTTGGGCTTGCCTGAGCTATCCAGGTCAGAGTAGTTGTGTTTATTTTCTTGAATGCTTTATTCTAATCTATATTTGAAGAAATTAGTAGTTGTCTTTTGACCATGACCCCCCCCCCCGAGGATATGTCACTACTTAACACATTAAACAGATTTTTGTTTCCTATGTTTAGCTCTGTAATTGGTAGACATATTAATTAACCTAGTTCCTTAAGATAAATGTCAATCAATTACTGGGTATCTGCAAAGGAGACTGTTTGCAGATAGATGGCAAATATGAGGTTATAAGCTTTCACAATTTTATATGCATGCAAGATTACCCACAAATGTGTTTGCAAACACGCTCGTGTGCATGTGATTGCCAAAGCATGGGAGGGAAAAATTAGGGATGAGAAGGTAATGTAACTCTTCACGCTCAGTGTGAACTGCTTGATTCAGCTGCACTATATGTTCTGTACTCGCTCTGAAGACTCTCTCTGACAAGCATTACTGTCAGTTGTGTCTGAACTGGAGGGATGCAATGTTTCATCATTAATTAATATAACCAAGTGGCAATTTTTTCCTGATACATAAAGGAATACAGGACTTTAAACATGTGCAAAATGTGCAATTCCTGAAAACAATGCATAGCTCCAGAAGCAAATCTACTTCAAAAATTTGAGCCTCTGGCATTCGTTTTGTCCAGTCTCCAGTTCTGAGGATTTCTCTCTGCTCTATGTTGGCTTCTAACAGTGCAGTCCTGGATAGATCTGGTCCAGACTGGATTGTACTATGAATGTCATGGAGTGTGACTCTAAGCAAACAAGTGTGGGCACAGACAAGGAGAACACACAGGTGTGTTATAGTAGTACGATATATGCATAAATTATGATCATATACCACTGTTGAGTTTCAGACTTTCCTTTCAAAAAGCCTCCAAGGAATCTCTCTTTTAAAAGTGCTTGTTGTGACATGCAGGTATTGTCTTAAAGTAAACTATATATTTTTCTTTCCAAAAATTATTTTGATCCATGTGCAAATTTATGCACAGTTTAATTAAATACATCATGTGTTCTTCAACTGAATGGGAATCTGATTCTCTCCCAGTGATTTTGTTTGAGGAGAAGGAATATAGCTCCTGTTTCCTTGGAGGTGACAGCGGTTTTTCATTGTGCTCTTCTCAGTACTAGTTGTTCCAGTTACCATAACAGGACAACTTCCAACAAGCTGCAAATGCATTCTCAAAGACGGCCTTCCGCTGGCAGCAGAGGTGAAGTGATTTGGTCCTGTTCCCTTTCTGGAAAAGATGCACCCAACAAGGTTGTCTCGTGTTAGTTTTTCCTGGCTAGAGAAGCACTCAAAAGTGCAAGTTATATGCTCAAGCATGTACTTCCTATGTTACATTCCTTCGCAATCTAAACAGTCAGCTGGAAGGGTGTCTTGGAGGTTACGGCCATGTGTCACGTGTGAACACTGACAATGCATTGGCATGGTTCGGACACCTGGTAGTTCCCACCCAGTCATCTCCAGGAATGTGTAGAGCTCTTGACTCAGTCAAGGCCCAACTTGTATGATCACAGCAGCATTTTCTTAATCTGTCGTGGTGGCAACTTGTAGAATAGCCAAGTGTGTTGGTTTTGGCATGTTGACTCATGTCATTGAGAGATTGGGGGTGGGGACATGTGGCAGTGGCAGTGATAACATGACATCACTTCAGGAAAACCTGAAATTGACATCACACCTTTCTCAGGATTGCTAAAAACTCTGTGTCAGAACCCCTGAGTTTTCAGTGATTCTTAGAGAATACTGACATAAC